TTTGAGTGGAGTGTCCAGAAAAGCGCTATATAAGTGTAAGCAATTATTATTATTATTATTATTATTATTATTATTATTATTATTATTATTAACTGTAAGGAGGGTCAGACTGGACCATTTCAGCATTTAACCTGAACGCTCGTCCCCATGAGCTGTCCTCCCTGGTGTGCCTGCTCACCTGACGGTCTGGTCAGAGAGCCAGCCCGCGTCGCACTGCTCGTAGCCGCTGTGGTAGGCTGCCAGGAGCTGCCCCGGCGTGGCGATGGAGGCGCCTATGTCCGCGCAGGCCTGCTGGGCGTCCCCGAAGGAGAAGGCGTAGCGGCTGGAGGCGTCTCGGTAGTGGAACACCACCCCTGCACGGGGCAGAGCCAGCAGCCGGATCAGCACTGCCCCGGGGAGACGGGCGCGGAGGGAGCAGGTCTCCCACACGGGGGGTCCAGACCCCCGGGCGCCTTCGGGCACCGAAATTCACGGGACCTCCTCAGCGGGCGAGGACAAGCGAGCGCTCCGCGAATGTACAAGAGGCCACACTCACAAGTAAATGCAGTTTTTAGCAAACAATATTCAGTCCATTAAAAATAACCTTGCTTCAGTGCAATTAAGGAGTAAAGGGAGAACAAAAACTCACAACACAAAACTTCTGATGTTCTTCTGATGACAATTGGAGGCAGAATTTTGAGTTCAGTGCAAAACAGAGGGGGAAGGATTTAAGAGGTGGAGTTTAGGAGTCTTATGGCGGTGGGGTAAAAGCTTTCTTTGAAACTACCGTGGACCTCAAGGAAAGCTTTTACTCCACAGCCATAAGACTCCTGAACTCCCACCTCTTAAATCCTCCCCCCTCTGTTTTGCACTGAACTCAACACACTGAAGTGAAAATACTGCCACTGCTGGTTAAAATTATTGCTGCTGCCCAGTTCCTGTCTCCAAGAATTGTGATGTTATTTGTTATTTCATTTTCTATGTCAATGTTATGCCATCTGTTACGTCATTTGTCATGTGTGGAAAACACGCAAGTAAGCATTTCATTGCGCTCAGGTACATATGACAATGAACTTGAACTGATAGGCAAAGGGCTGTGAGAAAAGAACCTGATGCTCAACATCCTTTACTTAAAGGGTATTTACTTCTTTGTCATGAATATGACTTGCATGCAAGGCGCTCCTCCCCTCTGCATATTAAAAGGGATCGGCTTGCACCCCTGTGTCCCCTCACCTTTGACCTTGACCCGGGCAAGGTCGTGGTCATCCTCCAGGCCCTGCTGCACCTCGCAGCGGTAGATCCCCGAGTCGTTGTAGCGCAGAGCCTCCAGCCGCAGGGTGAGGTCGCCGGGGGAGGAGGGGTAGTGGGGGAGGGAGGCCCTGTCCCTGTAGGCCTCGCTGACCTTTACCCTCTGACCCCTGGCCACCAAGATCTCCACCTCCTGGCCTCCGGAGACGACGCTCCACTTGACGCGGGGGGTGGCCAGCACCGCCCGGCGCCCGGAGGTGGGGGGGGTGGGCTGGGCCAGGGAGACATGGCAGGGCAGGGTCAGGGAGCCCCCCAGGGTGCCAGCCATGATGGAGTGGGAGGGGATGGTGACCTGCAGCAGCCTCACATCGTCTGTAATCACAGGGCAGGTATTAAACAGGTCAGGCATCAGAGAGCAATGCCAATCCCTACCAGTGCCTGTCTTACCAGCCCAGTCTGTGCAAAACCCTGGCAATAGGGCACAATTTATCTTGTTCCTACAGAGAGGACCTCAGCTTCCCAGGGATGCAATGGGAAATCAAGCTCAGGCCTTGATTCTCTGCAGCAGCAGCTTTTCCCTACTGTCTCTCTGGTTTGTCGGCATCTTTCTGCTGGGTTATCATCAGAAAGAGGGAATGGAACCAGTCTCCCACTGCACTGCCGTATCGATAGGCGGTAAACATCCCAGAGTGAAAACGATACATGATGAATGATGTTCGGTGTACATATTTTACACGGTAAGAGAGCATGTAGCCCGTAAAGCCTGAAATGAAACTGCTATGAACACACCGCGCTGACTGCTTCCCTCTGTCTGAGGGTCCAGGGCTCATAGGGGATCCCTCATGATTGGCTGACACTAATGAATTGCAGCAGATTCCCCTGAAGTGTTATCTAAAATGAGTCAAATTGCATAGTTCCCGTTCATGTGGATGCCTCACTCCCTAGTGATATTGTAGGAACACTTGGACACTGGAACCACACACGCATGGGCAAGACAGCCCGTTTCCAGGCGCTTCCCAGCCTGCACTGCAGCAGGAGGGGGGGGGTCAAGGGGGATGCTGGTATTAGAGCTCGCTGGGCAGGAGATCAGGCCGAGCCCGAGAGGTCACGCCAAGCCCAGCCCGGTGCCAGGCCCGCAGCCAGCAGTCTGGACTGGCAAAGACAGACAGGTGGGCAGGGGGACGGGGTCATGCAGTACCTGTTCCCGGGTTGGAGTTGTAGGAGTTGCCCAGGACGAGGGGACAGATGGCGCACAGGAGAAGAGCGAGGGCCATTTCCGACCTGCGGAGACAAGGACAGGGAGGAGGGAAATGGGATGACGCCCAAGTGATTACAACACAGAGGGAGAGGGGAAAGATTGAAACCAGTTCTGAGTGCCCAGGCCAGGCCAGGGAAGTAAATAAAAATCCCACAGCGCAGGAAGGATCTGCGTCACTGAGTTAACTCACATGGCCCACTGTTCAAGAAAATAATCTGGGAGAGGATCTGTTTTTTGTTTTCACACTGCTTTCGTGCCTATTCCATAAATACCATGTGTAAGGCACGGTGGTCACAGCGCTGGGGCACTGGGTTCAATTCTTTAGGTGCTATTTGAGTGGAGTTTGCATGTTCTCCCCATTTTTGGTTGGGTTTCCTCCCATTGTCCAAAACATACTGGTAGGTTAATTGGTTTCTGGGAAAGTGGGCCCTGGTGTGAGTGTGTCTGTGTTAGTATCTGCGATTGCATTGGCGTCCTGTCCAGGGTGACCTTGCTGGGCGCTCCATCCTGATGGGTGTGTGCCAGCTCTGCTTTGTGCTCTGTCTTTTGTCCCGGTCCCACTGCCCTACTGGAGAAGGCCGCTCATTCTAATGTGGCAGGGATTTACGCACAAACACCCTGGCGTCGTGCTTTCACCCAGACTGGGCTGGACTGGCACTCGACGAGCTTCAGAGACAAACGGTCTCCAAGCCCCCGGCGTGCAGGTCACGCAGACCCACCGCAGCGCATCCTGAAATTCAACCCGAAAGGTCACTTCAGGCCTGGAGAAATAGCGCGCCGAGAGAACAGGGTGGGAAAAGGAACTGAAAGAGGAGGAATCACGGCCCAGGGATGAAAGACGACCAAAAAAAAAAAACGGCAAGAAGGAGCAGAAGAAAAGAAAACGGGAAGGAAAGGGGCTGGCGAGGAAAAGAAAGGAACACAGTGTAGCTGGCCTGGAGATTTATTCCTGGGAGACTGTGTGTGTGTGCGTCGTCTCGAGCTGTCGGCAGGACCGCTTTAGAAAAGCCCACTGACTGAGTTAGTGTGCAGGGAGACAGGGAACTTCCCGCCCGCGTGAGACGAATTCTGATGGGCTCGTATTCTCTCTCCTCTCACTGGGAGCCCCAGACGGCACATTATCTCCAATCCACCACCACCTCCACCAAACCACCCCCACCTGGTGAGCAACACCGGCCCGACGCCGACACCCGGCGCAGGCCCGTCCGTCTCCTGTCAGCCGCCCACAGAGCCCCGACTCGGAAGACATCTGTCGCCGCAGAGCAGTACCGGGGAGCGGGGCAGGCTGGGAGCTCCGTTAGCTGCTGTTGCTAAGGGCTTTTGTGAACAGCCAGGCCTGCTGTGTTCACAAGGATCCACTAGTTTGCACACGGGTGGCGTCTTTCTGCTCCGAGCGCTCTCAAGAGTGAGATCCCCTTCAGCCCTTCACCCCGACACATATTTAAGGAGGCTGTCGATATCGCGCCTTCGGCTGACAGCACTGTCCACGTTCGGCCTAGAGCGCGACCTGGTATTGAACACTGTCCCTTCCTTACTTCTGAGTTCAATACGTCTCGTTAGTTATTCTTGGACTGATCGCACAAGAAGTGATATCACAGCCCCACAGCTGTTGATGTGCAGATTAACTTTACTTGTGGTGCCAGAAAGACCCTCGGCTGGGCTGCTGTGCGTATAGTCACAGGGAAGGGGGGTGTCCGGACCACCTTCAGCTGTGCCTCAGCCCTGCTGTAACCCATACCCAAGTCAAGAGTGAAATGAGAGGAAAACGTTTATGATGCAAAAATGCTTCACTAACTGCAAGAACGGGGAGGGTGTGGTACTTAATTGCAAATTGCTCCACTTGGATTTGGAAGCCAGCATGGATTCCTTCAGTTTTGCTCCACGTGTGATCTGTGCACGAGTTGCATGTGGACTTTGACGGGACATTCTCTGCTTTACCCCTTCCCCCTCCACCCACTCATCCTTTCCTTCCCCACTCCCTTCCTCTTGCACGGAGTGGCCCACGTCCACGCCGACCACATTTCCATCAGCCAGGGGGGGAAAGGAATCAGACTGTGGGAGAGCTGGGAACAGGAGAGCTGAACCGCAGAAGTACTCAGACAGGGCATCGTTACAAAGAACAGGCTGTCTGGAATACTGAGTGACTTAACTGGGGCCAGTGGGCCTCCACTCCTCTGGCTCTCCGGATGAGCGCTCTTCAGCAGTTTCGAGAACAGAGGGGGAACGGCTCAGCATTCAGGCAGCAGCTTGGGCCAGTCAAGCCAGCTGGAGACAGACATTGCACACCCAACAGGCTTGGGCAGAGGAAATGTTGTCAGGAGACTGAACAGTTCACTATCTAGCTTTCTAGGTGTCTGTGAAAACCAGCAGGATTACTCCACTCCAATAGAGTCCTATTCAGAAAGCAATTTTCCTTCAGCTCTTGATTTAAAGATACTAAGGTGTCCTTCTGGATTGTGGCTCTATACCAGTGGTGTTTATAAAAAACATGTCTAAGTATTGTGATAGTGTACTAAGCGTCTCTGCCAACCCACACTGCCTCCCTCTGTCTCTCCCAGTGCCTCAGCTCTCACCACTAACCCCACACTGCCTCCCT